GCACACTCTCTGCTCCATACCCCCAACACGCCCTCTGTCCTGCAGACCTGGGCACTCGCTCTCCATCTACACTGGTTTGCAGTACGCTGAGAGGCTGGAGGCTGGCAGCTTAGGCACACAGGCCGGTCCTGGAGGAGCCTCGGCCCTGGCCCTGCTCCAGCCTTGAGACTGACGGCTGCCTCCAGCATGGACAGGCCTTGCTCTGAGGCTGACGGCTGCCTCCAGCATGGACAGGCTTTGCTCTCAGGCATCCTCGTTCTCAGTCTCTGGCTCCGGACACAGGTTCACCTGACCTCAGGGAAGAGGGGACTCCCCTTTGGAACATGGAGCTTTATTTGGGTGGCTTCAGGATTCTGACACCAGCCCCATGCCAGGGGCCACCTTGCTCCTGGCATGTCTCACCCCCAGCGGGTGAGGAGGGAGGTTCCTGGACCTGTTCTCAGACTTCTCTAGAGAACTTGTCAAAGGATAATGTATCTGTTGCCTCTTCCCCAGATGAACTGATTCAAGAGCAGCTCTGAAGTCACCTAATGTGGACCACATGACGGTGTTGTTTGGGGTCATACCATGCATGTGCATAGGGGGAATGTGCCTGTTGATAGTGTCCATGTCGTAAGTGACGAGAAGGACAGTTTCAATGCAACAATTTAAAATAATGAACCACTGGCCTGGTGGAGAGTACTGACACTGCTGAGGTGTGCAGGGCCACCTCCCACAGCCACGTGGGCTAGCCGGGCCCTGGGGCCGGGTCAGCCGTCAGATCCTGCCCCCAGTCTCTGCGTGGAGGTGTAGAAGGGAAACTTGGTATGTGAGAAGAGGTTGCTGGTGCGTCCCATTTCTGTGAAAGCCCTCTGCAGGAAAAGGCCCACCTAGGCAGTCACAGGGAGCTCAGAGTAGCACAGGGAGTGATTTCTGTGTCCCTCGGGGCATTGAAACCAAAGCCCCACTGCACCGTGACTTGATTTGTTTGCTTGAGATACGTTACCACCGTGCACAGTGAGGTGCTCCCAACCCCACTGTGCTTTTGTCACCACTTGGTTAAGGAAATCACAACTAAGTGGCACAACAACCTGTGTGCCTGGGCAAGGGCAGTCCCCTCCATGATTCTGCTTTTGCCCAGGAAAGTGAGACCCACAGCTTTGGGCCCGACATGACCTAATAGAAGTGGCCTAGTATGTGGCACCTGGTCAGTTACGGGGCTCCTGTTCCCTCTGTTGGCCCTGCTGCGGTTGTGACGTGCACCCCTGCCATCAGGGCCATTGTGTTCTGTAGGATGGCAGTGTGACAGCAGAGAAGCTCCACAACAGTGTGGCTGTAAAGTTGCCCATAGTCCCAAGGGCTGCAGACCCTCTCGCAGTAACCTGAGGAGGCTGGGCTGTCTATCTCTGAGAACAGGACCCGTGGGGACCAGGTGGCCAGGCTTGCCAAGGGCTCTGGCAGGGAGCTTTCCCTGGGGCCTGGCCTGAGCTTAGGGATCGTGAGGTGCTTTCTTATGTCAGTGGATCATCTTCGTTTTCCCAGATGAGAAATGAGCTGCATATTTGCTGTGTTTTTGCTGGAAAGGTATGGCTGTCCCCTGAGCCCCTGCTGGAGGCTGCCCTGCATGCGGGCGCTGGCCCCCAGCACCAGCTGTGGCTGTGCTCCAGGCAGAAGAGGGCACTCAGCTATGGTACTTCTAATTTGCAGTGGGGCTTACAACTGATAGGGTCACTCACAGGGTCTTCGCTGGTAGCCCCTGCACCTGCAAGGGAGATGCCAGGTCAGACAGGGCCTAAGGGCTGGTGGGGCCACGCCATGTCCCCTCCTCCTTCACAGCGGAGCACCTGCAGTCTGAGGGTGGGAGGGGAAGCAGTGGGTGTGTCACTGCTCAGAGATACTCAGTGCATTCCTCACAGCGACTGCAGGAGCCAGGAGGAAGATCCCTTTTCACAGATGAGAAACGGAGCAGAGGTCTTGCTAAGGTTCAGTGACCAGTGCTGTGCTCCCCCTGCCTGCCATCTTGTCTCCAGGGCCAGTAGAGGATACTGGCTGTGATGGGGCTGAATCGTCCTTGCCCCCAAGTTCACAGGTTGAAGTCCTAACCCCTGGCACCTCAGGATGAGACCTCCTTATGGATGTGACTAGCCTCATGGTGAGCACAGCAGGGTGGGCCTAAGCTACTGATGTCCAGGACCCCGAGACAGAGGCACACACAGGCAAGACAGTATGAAGAGAAGACAGCATCCACATGCCAAGCAGGGGCCTGGAACAGACGCTTTCCCCAGAGCCCCCGGAGGCCACCAGCTCTGCTCTCAGACTTCCAGCCTCCAGACTTGTAAGAAAACAAGTTTCTATCATTTAAGCCACCCGGTTTGTGGCACTTTGTTACAGTAGCTCTAGGAAACTAGTACGTGGCTAACAGTGCATGTTCTGATATCCACCTTCCCCTATTTGAGCCTTGGTGACTCTTTATGCTTCCATTTCCTTCTGTGGAATGGAGACAGCCCAGCGGACTCATGGGTGTGTCTTGGTAGTTAAATGGGGATGAACAGAAAGTGCTTGAAGGGTGCACAGCAGGACATCAGGGCTCAGTGAGGGGACAGAACAGCAGGAGGTGGCAGGGCCCTGTGGTGTCTCTATTGGCAGCCCCCACTTCCCCCAACGTCTCTCCAAAGGCTGTTCCCTGCTCTCATTCTCTGCCTGTTACTGTTGGGCCTCGCCCCTCTTGCCAAAGGGCACTCTCCACCTCTTTACCCTCGGCCTTCCTTCCCATGCACCTCCAGGTGGGCGCCTTCCCCCCTTCATGTCCCGCCAAGCCACCCTGGTTACTTCCTTGGCCACATGTTTTCTGTGACTTCTTGGATCTTATTGAGCTGTGCAGCTTTCTTTGCTCTCTCCTCTCTCGGGATGGTGTTATTCCAGGACAGTGTCCTCAAACAGCTGTCCTGCTCCTGGCTCTGCAAATGCCATCTCAGATGCTGGTCAGCACGCTTCCTCCTGGACTGGCCTGGGCAGTAATTTATTGCTTCCTCCTTTGGGCAGCCCAGCTCATTGTCCTAATGCTTTATTGTTCCACTAAAAGTATCTCTCGTGGTTAGACTACCTTGGAGAATACTTTCTCTCTGAACTTGATTGGATAGAGGACTTCTTTTTTTGGCCTACCAAGAACTTTGAACTTGGGCAGTGAATGCATGGGATGGGATACACTCTGGCAGCTTAGGGCCATGTGTTGTGGTTTGAATTTCTCCTTCCTGGAAGGATTAGCAACTGAGGAACATGATAAATGCAAGATGGGGCAACTTGCATGTAAAGAGCAGCATGATGAGACTCAGCTCAAGTCGTTTTTCACAAGAGCTGGGTCAGGCTGGTCCAGAGCAGGACGATAGATAGAAATAGGTTTTGCAGACCAGGGGAAACTTGGAAACCACTGTCTCAGCAACACACATCCCATGGAAAGGGATGCAAGCAGTAGACTGATTTAACGATCCCAGTCTTTCACCCTTTCCTGGATCCATGCCCTTTGGTAGAGACCCTTCAGGCTGACGCAGAGCTTGACCTTACGTAGAACTTGCTAGGGCCAGTGGGCCAGGAGAAAACTTGAGGCAGTCAGAGGCCTGGGAAATATTACAACCTTTCCACTTTTTCACAGCCCTGGTTCTGCCATGAAAATAAGCCCAGGTTAGCCTGCTGGAGGCTTAGGGCACATGGAGCAAAGCTACCAGGGACCAGACCGGGCAGCTGTAGGCTGACCCCAGATGCATGAATGAGGTCAGCTCAGCCCTGCCTGGCTCATCTCAGCACCCCCCACTTCACCAGCCCCCTCAGATCCAAAATAAATGGGACTGATTTAAAGCACTAAGTTTTTGGGTGTTCTGCAGCCGTAGCTAACTTGCCTGCTACAGTGCCACTGTTCACTTTGTTTTACACTGAGATCACGTCCTAATCTTCTTCCCTTAGCCAGTGTTGTTTGCGACCTCACTATTTTATTTCCAGGAAAACTGCTAACTAGCAATAAGGTATTTTGAAATTAAAGTGCCAGGATACATGTAATCAAGTCATGTTAGGCTGTGCACAGTTGCACGGTCTATTAAAAGGTGTATTAGAGCTGACTTTTACAAAAAGGGACAGTGTTTTCTATGGGTTTGGTGGGCATCCAATATACAGAAGCAAACGGACCCCTAACCATAGAGGCATCACTAGGCATGATGTTTTACTGCTGTAGCATAGAGTAGCTGGCTGTCTTTTAGCTATGTGTAGCTCAATTCTTTGGGCCTGAGAGCGCTTTTAAAAATTCTTCGGAATAAAGTCATACTTGGCCCAAGCATGAGCCTGTTCGATTCACAATGGGTACCTGCTTTAGCCAAGGGTGCTCAGCTGCAGGGCCAGCCTCGATGTGCTTACAGCCCAAGATGACTTTGGTTTCAAGTGAGGGGTTCTTTGTGAAAAGCCCTGTGCCCTGACAGGCCACATTTCTTAAATTTTTAAACATAAAATTATTTTCATTGATAGATATTTAAAAAAATAAAAAGTCGTGCCTGCAACTCTTTTCCCGGGCTGTGTTTGATGGTCATGTTAAGTTCCAGACATCTACTATTAAAATGGAATTCATTTAACTATACACTAGCCATCTCTTTTTGAAAGCAAATAATTAAGTGAAACACTAATGTTTTCTATTTAAAAGCGAGCTGGTGATCATGTACTGATCTCCTGTGGTCATTACAAGTGTTCAGAGTCCAGGGCTCTAGGGGAGAAGCCTCTCAGCCAATGGGGAGCAGAGCCTCTGCCGGCCCAAGGGACCTGGGGGTGAGTGTGAGACCCCACAGAGGAAGGGGTTTGGGGCAAGATGGAGCTCCAGTGACATGGATTTCAGTGTGCAGAATGAACGTGTTTTCATGTGGTTGTGAAGATAAATGAGGCAGTGGACCTGGGTGTTTATTAGCAGGTACGTGATAATAGTTGTCAAACTGTTAAATTTTAGTGGGGCAAACATTAGAAACAATATTAAGAGACAAGGTATTGAATCAGTCCCAAAAGAGCAGCATTAACATGCAGCTAACAGAAGCCTCTTTCTAACAAGGAAAAATCAAACAACTGTTACTCCGTCTCAGATGTAGGCAGAAGCGCATCTAGCCAGGATCTGGAAGAGCACAAAATCCAGGTGTACTATAGACATTCAAATAAACTATTTCCAAAACAACAGGTGATTAAAGTAAAGGATTTATTGTAATTTGCTTACAGTCCTTTGCAAAGACAGACATATGTTTTTGCATAAAGATATAAATTGCTTCATTTCGAACTAATTTAGTGTTTTTTTTTTAATTATATGAAGTTTTGGTGAATTATGAATTGTACCAAACCAAGATTTTTTAAGAGCGATATGGTACAAAAATAAGAGCAGACAGACAATTTGGACTGGGACAGGCATTCAACAGTGAATTCAGAATATGGCTTTGCTGTTTAATCAAGCAAAGTTACCTGGAGACACACAGAGAGCCAGTAACTTTGTTAATACAAAAAGCTGATGCAGACCGTCTCCATCCCAACTCTGGTTACGTCAAAACTCCAAATTTTATAAAAAGGTAAGTCGGAACTAAAGGCTGCTTTTGTAAGCCATTTCTTTTCCAGAAACCCCCAGTCTGCATGCTGTGTATTTATCACCTTCAAAGTGTGGCTTTCATATTGCTGTGCATGTAAGTTGACGGTATTTAAAGATCTGCCTAAAAATTAAATTCCTGAAATTGCAAATTATGTAAGAACAACTCCTCCCTCTGAGTGCAGCTTTCACAGGTTTCCCCTTGCAGAAGGCAGGTGTCTTCTGAAAGACAAGGTAATGTTGCCTGCATGGTGAACCCTGGAGAAAAGTGTTGATCTGATGGCTGCTTTCTCCTGGCCCTGGGCTTCTCCAGCGGTGGTTTTTTTTAGGTTTGGGAAAATGATTTCACTGAGCTGATGATTAGCATTACTTTTAAAAGATTAATTTGGCTTCTATTCAAAGTATTTAGTGCAATCATATTGTTAGTTTCCCCAAAGAAAAAAAAATATATATATACACGTATATATATGTTTGTGATTTGGGGTAAGGAAAAAGCCATAAATTGTATCAGTGCCAAACAGATTAATGAATTAAAAATTTTAGTGCCACTGTCTTGCTTATGTGATCTGTAGTGTTTTTTTTTTTAATCTCCAAAACCGTTTATGTATAAAATTTATGTTTAAAACCTACCTTTTAAAAATCTAAAACCCCTCTAATTACCTCCTGGTCTCCACGCCGTTCAGACTGAACCTTGCCGAGTGGATCACCCTGCCGTGATAGTGTGTGTTCCCGTGACCGGTTCCAGGAGGGCAGAACCCCTTTCCAAGACCAGAAGGGAATAGCTGATCTTTGACAAGCATGTGTGGAATTTTATTTTTGCCACAGGAGGACATGGGATTTTCTGAAATGTGCTCTCCTGGAGCTGATTCTGCCTCCAGAGGGAAAGGGGAGCGAGGAAGCTTTGCTAAAGCTCTCGCACTCCCAGGACCTTCTCTCTCATGTGTGGCATCAAAGGCCCCTTCCAGGAGCTGCAGACACCACAGCTTGCCGTTTCCCGATGGCGTGGGGAACCAGACGGAAGCCAGAAAACGTGCTTGAGTCCTATAAACACCCCAGGCAGGAGACCAAGAACAAAACAGAAAATACAGAAAAAGTAGAAAGGCTTAAAGACAACCGAAGAGGTTTAAAGTGTGGTTATTTACAACAGAGACTGTAAAATGGTAAATTAGATATGAAGCTAAAAAAGGCACAGCTTTCCCTTTCTTAAATACACTGTAAACGGTTCATTACGCATGCAGAACATTTCACTTTACAAAAAAAAAAAAGGTTTTTTTACCTTGTGTGTTTAGACAAAGATAGTACTTAAATAGTCTCCAGCAAAATAGAATTCTTTCAAAAATACTTTCCCATTCATCCTATTAACCATTAAAGATTTTTTTTTTTTTTTGTATGTGTCTCATTTACAAAAGTTCCTTATACCTTATTTCGGGTCCTTCACAATTTATACATACAGTAATGTACAGCACAGCAAAAGACTGCAAAAAATTATTTGTAAAGCCAACACAATAGATACTAGAAATTGAAACCAAGGCATTTTGTTTTAACATCTTATCCACCCTAATTAAATAATAAATGGACGCTAACAAGCGTGTATACCAGCGATGCAGAAGGACGTGGGCAGCAGGGGGCCGCTGTTCCACGCCACGGGTTCTGTTATTACACAACAGGAATCTGTATATATTTTTTCTTTCTTTTTTTTTGTGTTTTTTAAATAACAAAAGAATATTAATGCCCCATATTGACTATACGTTTTATGTGCAAACCAAGGGTAAGCTTTAAAAAGTTCGTTAGTCCTTGAACCCTTTTAAAACAAGCGAACGATACCAGAAACTACATGGCATGGTTAAAACTTCCATCTGTTAAAATATCAAAATCAGAGAGTTATTGACTAGATATGGCTTTTCATCCAGAGGAACAGGAACGTGTTTCTAAGCGCTGGGGACTGGAGAGGGACGAGTCCTTTAGAGACTGCTCAGGTCTGGTGAAATCCAGGTCAAACAGCTTTCCCGGCTCCAAACCCCCGACATGATTTTAAACTTGACCAGCTGCTGAACAAGTGTGAATCAACCACCACATGTGAAAAATAGGATTCCTTGGGTCCTTCGTGGGTGTGGAATAACACGGGGAAACTTAAGGCAAAGTTCTCCTGGCAGGACGGCTCCCGTCATTTCCTGTGGAAGTAAAGCGGCTTGGCATTCCCGGACTCCACCTTGGGCAGCTGGTCGCTGATGATCTCCACCAGCATGGCGGGGAACTCCACCTTCAGGGCCTGGGACTCTCGGAAGGTGTAGAAGCAGAATTCCAACAAGTCACTCACCAGCTGCAACACAGAGAGAGGGGCATGACACGGGGGCTCACTGCTGTCCCTGGAGTCCTCTGTGTCCTCATCCTAGTGTGAACTCAAAAGAGCAGTGTTCAGAAAGTCATCTGGGAAACTGTGTCTTAACCTGAGTCCTCTGGCTTGGGGGAGGAAGAAGGGTGTTCACATTGCCTGTCAGCTGATACACTTACCCTGCAAAACAAATTCAGCCTGAGCTGTGTGACTGTTGAGTGTGGAATGTACCAGAGGCAAGAGGGATGGTAACAGTGTTAATACTGCCAGGGACTCTGAACTGCTCCCCTCACATTCCAGTGTCTAAATGTGTGAAATGGTGTGTCTCAGTATGGTGGAGAGTGCCTGCTTAGGATGTCTGCCTAGAAGATGGCCAGGAGGACAAGGAGCAGGACCTCCCCCCAGGTATGGTGTGCTCCAACTGGGTCCTGGGAATAGAGCCGTGGCTGAGGGGCGGCCAGTCCTTCCATCTGCAGCCCCCACCTCTTTCTGGCTTCCTGCCCTGCTGGGGACAAGCCTGGGGCTGCTCAGCTACTCTCTCTGTCTGGCTGATGTTGAGAGCACAACATCAAGGACAAGTTCTGGGTTGTCCCTCTCGCTCATTTTCCTTATTCGGTGACCCAAGAACCTTTCCTACATGCCTGGGCCTGACCCCTCCCAATTCTGTAAGTTTCAAAACAAAACACAACGGCAGTGCAGCATCACGGCTGCTGCTCCATTTACAAGGGACATGGTTTCAGAGCAGAAAAAACTCAGTTTTCTTAATTCCACCTCCCATTATGGGAAAAATGACTTTTGTCACTGCCCTGTGCATTTGCAGCAGGCACCATTAACATCATCTGTGTGCTTAATAAAGTGAGTCTGGTGAACCTGCATCTGTGCTTGTCTGTGCCTGTGTTACTGTCCTCAGCTGCAGACTGGGGTCCCCCTCAGCAGGTTCTAAGGACTGTGAAGTTTAACAGGTGCTGGGCACCTGACCAGCTTCATGCAGGCATGTCCACCTTGTGAATGCTGTGCCTCAGTTTCCTCATCTGAAAAATAGGGATAATAGCGTGTGAGCCTCAGAGTTGTTTCAGAGGACTGAAGGAAGGGCTCCGTAACGTGCTTCCACCTTCACTCTCATGCAGCAAGTGCTGAACAGCTGGCAACGCTTTCTCAAGACTCTGAAGTGCCCCTGGAGCAAACCCTCTTTAACCCTGCCCTTCCCCCATTCCTTCCACCACAGAACACCACTTTCCTCTATGGGATGCAGTCTGCACAGCCTGCTGTCTGCCATCTCTGCAGAACTTGGCCCTCAGCCCCCACTTTAACAAAAGGAAAAATGGAGAACTTTATATTTTTGCCTTTTCTAGGAACAATATTCTTTAAAAACATGCCCTCCCATTTGTTTTGCCTTTTCGCACATGGCAGCCAGTGACTGTCAAAGCCACCGTGGGTGTGGCTCGCCAGATGTGGGGGCACCTGCTGAGGTGCAAGGGACCAAGTTCACCCTGACTGCCCCCCCAGTCCTTCCATGGAGACCCCTGTGGGGCTGTGAAGGTTTAGTTTTTCCTTTAAAATATTTTTAATGTGGGGGCAGACAACTCAGTTTCTAGACCATGTCAAACATCACTAGCACGACGACTCTGCCTGGTGGCCACAACTTTCACTTTTCTGAGGTTGAACCTTGTTCCTGCTTAGGGATAAAGGTTTCCTGTCCTCAGGCCACAGGGGCTTTGGGGAGGGCCAGGGTTCTTGATCCATGAGCCCTCCCATCCATCCAAGCCACCGAGTGCCTGCTCTGTGCCAGGCACTGGGGAGACCACAGCAGCATGGCTAAGCCTGCGGTCAGGGTCACTGCATTCTTCTCTACTGGGCACAAATGCCAACCGCAGAGTCAGGGCTGCCTGAGGAGGAAAGACAGAGGAGGAGGTATTCCTCAAAGAGGCTCTCAGAGAAGGCAGGCTCAGTGCATGGCCTCCTATAGGCAATGAGCTGTGTGGCCATCAAGCTACACAGCAGGGCCAGGGACATGGAAGAGTCCACAGTGGGGCACAAGTGACGACAGTAATTCACATGTGCCTTAAAAAACAAGGAGCAAAGTCAGCTAGTTCCTGCATAAGGCAGCAATGCAGCTCATTCGAGCACCTCATCGAGTCTCTGTAACACCTGCAGAAATGTGACCGCTGCACTGAGCATCATCTAAGAGATGCTGAGAGAACAGACAAGTGAGAGAACAGACCGGAACAGAGAGAGAGGCCGGGCCCGAGGCCTGGCTGTTTTTGCTCACAGGTTGGCTGGGGACAGGTGTTCCAGATGCTGCCCACTACCCATGCATATTGACCACCCATCTCTGTCCCATGTTCCACAGACGGGGAAAGCAGCTCATTCCGAGTCATGAGCTAGTACTCAGGGCTTCTGTTTACACCTCAGTCAGCTGCAGGGGTGGGGGCCGTCCTGCGGATTGCGAGCCTGACAGCAGAGCCTTACTCTGCAAGTGTGACATTGCCTGGGGGGTGGTTATTACCAGCACCCACTCCCAGTAAAGTGCTCACCCGTTGTCGGGGTGGCTAGGATGGGTGCTCAGTAGGGCCCAGCAGAAGGTGCTCAACTGAGACTGGACAAGGCTGTAGCTAGTGACATCAGGGATCAACCGTGAGAATAGAAGACAAGTGCAGCTGGCCACGAGGTGAGGAGCGCGTGAGCTGCGTGCTCTGACCCCAGGTGCTCACAGACATGCAGAGCTCTGGCCGGCTACAGCCGGGTCAGGGGCCCTGGGGCAGGACCTACACGTGCCTGGCCCTTAGGGGTGAGGGAGGAGGGCTGGAGCTACAGCACAGAGCTCTATCCCTACGAGAAAAAGCCAGGCACAAGAAGTTGGGAGCTACACAAAGTGAGGTAGCAACAAGGCCATGAGAGATGGATGAGTGTCAACACATCAAACTACTGGGCCACCACGAATGCTGACCGGTGAGAACGGACAGTGGTTCACTGTGTTGCAGTGAAGCATCTGCAACACATCTGTGTGGACGTCTCCTGGGTCCCAGCCTGGCACAATACATGGGTGCGCACAGAATTCAGCACCTGTGGCCCTGGTATGAACCTAGAGGAGCCAAGAAATGAGGATACAGGCAGGGGCAAGGGCACACGTGTCCTCGCAGCTGTTGTCCCCGGGCCCCTCAGTGCAAGTGCTGCTGCTGCCCCTGGTGCGGAGGACGGGTGGCAGGGTGGCAGCCCTCTGTGCACCTCTCAGCAAGCACAGACACTTGGTGCTTGGGACCCAAACCGCTATTCTCACAGTGAAGCTTGAAACCACCAAGGAAGCAACCAGTTCAGCATATTCGCGCCAGTCTCGTGGTGTGGGGAAAACCTGCCTTTCAAAGTCACATCAGCATGACCATGTGGACAGCTCTCCTGGGGATCCCAGCACTTTCCCTGAACACTCCCTGAGCCTGGAATGTCTCTTTTAACCCCACTCTTTTCAGAGGACGTGAACATCGAGTTTGCTTGTTTCCCAGCTCTCCCTCTGGAGGCCTTCCTAGGGCCCAGCCACCCCCTGACCTCATGGGTGACTTTTTGGGTCTAATCTACTTGACAGCCTTGGATTCAAGCTGTTTACATCTCATTGTTTCATCTCTCTTCATATTCATAGGTGCTTCTGAAATGTCCTGCCAGCTCCTAGAGGCTACAGCTAGACTCTCCCTCCACCATAGCCCCTAGCGCCCTTCCCGCAGCCCTGAGGGCCAGATGGGTTCAAACCTACTGTTCCCAGGCAGGGGGATTCCTGCTCCTGGGTTTCTCAGACTCATTCCAAACTCCCAGTGCTCGGCAAGTCATAGTGTTTCTTTCAGGGCAGCGTGTTGTTAGTTTTAATCAAGGAACCAAGAAACCCAAACTGCCGTGATGTTAAATGGGTACCTACATCTTAGTGGCACCAAGTAAATAAAGTGGAACTCAGTCCCGGAGCCTGCCCCCTTTCCATCTTTCCCTGGGATTTCCTCCGACTTTCTTCTGCTGGGTTTTAGTGGGATTTCCTATGTGTGCCATGGCGAGTTGCAGGGTGAAGTGTCCTGTTATTACGGCTGTGCTTAGAGGCCCTGTGTGTGTGTGTGTGTGGGGGGGTGCAGCGGGGAAGGAGGTGATGGCTGCGGACAAAGCAGCTAACTGTCCCATTTGCACAGAAGCACGTGTGCCTTCACCAAACAACCCAGGCTGGCCTCAGCATTGATGCCCACTGGCCTTTCCTGGTCAGTCTCCAGCGAGATGGAGAGGCCAGACCCCTAATTATAACCAGCAGCAGCAAGAGGCCTGCATTATTAGGAATCAGAGAAAGACTTGTGCATTGACTTTTCATTCTGTACAGGACCCATCTGTTGGGATCGCAGCAGTTTAGCTGATGCCCCGCATGATTTTTCCAGCCCAATGGGCCACAGCTGTCAGGGTGGCAGAGGAGCCTGGCAAGGTCACAGAGCGACTAATGGCACTTGGCTGATCCCAAAGATGTAGCCGCGGGGTCTCTCCCTGTGCCTCTTCCCTACTCCCTTCACTAAGCCATGGCCCCTGTCATGCCAACAGCCACTTCCCACGCTCTGCTCCCACCAAGTGCCTTACAGGGAGGGTCTTCCTCCCACCACACATCCGGGGGCTGCTCTGAGGCTACACAGTCACTTAAAAGTGGAGATAGACCCTGAACCACAACAGCCTCTCTGATTTCAATGGCATGCTCATTTCTCATATATTATCTGCTGACTCCAGACGTTCACCTAACTAGCATCAAGTTTTTATATGAAATGAGCACTGGGAAGAGGTTTGTAGCATTTCAAAGACTAAAACATTAGCCAGCTGTATGAATGGGTTTAGGAAAAAAAAAATATGCATTCAATGCAGACACTCTATAACACCAGTAGTTTGAAGGGACATAAATGGCTAGCACCTATTTAATCCAGGTGTTCCATAAATAGCCTTGTGAACACTGGAAAGTGACCTGCAGGATGACATACAAAGTTTGG